TATTATTTTCTCGATTTCCTTTATATATTATCTCTGAGCTATTTTATATAAGTAAATATATAAGTTCATATATATAATACTTTTATATTCTTCTTATATATTAAATTAAAAGATATTAATAAAGAGATATATATTTCTCTAGATTATAGTCTTTTCTTAATATTTGAAATCCTCTATATTTGCAGAATTATTAGGTTCGAAAAAACCAATATTTTCTGGATTTCACCTTAAGGAAATTCTACTTATATTAACTATATTATATCTATTACCGAAGTTCTGGTTTCTATTATTAAAACTATTACCTTCTCTACTACCTCTGTTATTTGCCCTAGCTCTATTACTACCAAGTAACTAGTGCCTCTAGTATCTGTTGCGTTTATCTAGTACTCATATAATAAATATAGCTATTTTAGTAGCTATTTTAGGGGAAAGAAGGTATTCTTATACCGGGGCTATACTAGCTATATTACTACTATTATTATTTATTCTAGGGATCTCTTTAGTTCTATTACTATTCGGTTCGGAAGGTTAGCAGCTGCTTGGTTAAGGCTCTATACTAGTTTCAGTATAGTAATTATTATTTTCAATACTTCTTCCGGTTTTGGCTATACCTTTATTCTATAGCAGGAAGTATTTGTCTATAAGAAGGGCGAATTTCTTAATAGCAGTATTAAATACGGATCTGTTAATAGCCTATATACTCGGTAGGGCTGGGTAAGAAGGCTATTATACGGATATAAGTTTATTAACCGAGGATAATTAGCTATAGTAACTACCTTATATTATATTCGAGACTATAGTAAGATATTATAAGACCAGGCAGTTAATAATATTATTAATAGTTTGTATTCTCTCTGCAAATTAATAGCCAGTTACTTGAAACTAATCGAATTAATAAGCGAGATTAATAAAGTCCTATAGAAAAGTTAAACTTGTTATTAAGTATGGCTTGTACTCTCTAGGGTTATTGAATTATAGGTAGAAATACTACAAAAATAAAGAGATTCCCAGGTTATATTATAATATATATAAATCTAATAATTACTACTACTTGTTATATAAGAGGAATGAGTTGAGTAAAATATAAAAGATAATATATTACTATATAAGGGAAGTACTACTTCTAAGGTATAGCTTATATTATATTACGGTAATATAATCTCTATTATCTATATAATAGAAGAGCTTTTTAATATCTTTATAAATAACTAAGCTAGTTTACTAAGATTAAAAACTTCTTTTAATAAGCTAGTTTACTAAGATTAAAAACTTCTTTTAATAAGCTAGAATAAAGTTAATAGATTAGAGCTATATTAGCTACTAAGGTTCTTAAAGCTAAAGGAGCTAATATAGAACTAATCTGGGTTCTAGGATATATAGATATAATAGGGAATAAAGAAATAGATAAACTAGCTAAGCTAGATACTACTTCTCCTATATTAGAACCTGAATTAATAAAAACTTTCTTTGCTTTTCTAGAAATTAAAATTAATAGAGTTAAGAAACTAGAATATAAACTACTTTTAGAATCTTATACTAAACCGAAAACCTAGCTAGAATTATATAGTAATATATATTTATAGAAAGTATCTAGAAAGATAAACCTATTTTATAGAATATTTAGGCTTCTAGCTAATGCCTTTTAACTAAAACTAGGCTATAGATATTTAAAGTTCTATTTATATAGATTAAATATAATATCTAATAATAAATACAAATATAGAAAGACTAAGAATATAAAGTCTTTCCTTTTATACTATATATTATATAAGGAGAAATAACTTAGACTATTTAGTTTATTTAAAGGAAGCTTAGAAGCTAGTGCTTTTAACCTATAATTACTATTATATACAGAAATTGGGATATTAAATATACTAGTATTCTTAAAAGAAACTAGTATATATATAAGAAAATAGTATATTAAGCAAAGTATAAAAGTAAAAGAAATAAAAGAAGTAGAAATAAGAGAGGAAATAAGAGAGGAAATAAGGGAAGAAATAGGAGAGGAAATAGGAGAGGAAATAGGAAAGGAAATAAGAGAAAAGAAATAGGGAAAAAGAGAAAAAAGAAATAGGAAATAGGAGAGAAATTATAATTTATACTTATTTTTCTTTATTTCCTTAAGTTTTTGTTTCAGGAATATATTCTTAACTATTTATTACCTATATTGGAATTTGGGCCTATATATAAGCTACTGAGACTCATACTAGCTTAGCTAACTATACTATATAGTTCTAAACTAATAAAGTATATTAAAAGAAATAAAAATAAAAATAAAAAATAAAAAGTTAAACTAGCTTATAGTTTACTAATACAAGCGAAATTAGAACTATAGTATAGCTATAGTAGAACTATAATTAAGCTATAGTTAAGCTATAATATAGCTTCTTTTAGTAATTACTTAGCTTAGCTTAATTCTTACTTGAATTAGGTTTAAAGTAAAAATTCTTATTTTAAGTATATATTAAAATAGTTTTATATTATATAAAGCCGACTTTAATAAATATTAAATAAATATAATTAGCTTTTAAAAGAAATACAAATTAGTTTCGGAAGAAGTAATACCTTATTCTATTATTCTAATTTCTTTTTTATTAATACTTATTTTATATTTTTTATATATTTTCCTAATATTTATATATTTTATTTTTTATATATTTCCTATATTATTTCTCTTCTTTTATACTATTTCTTGAATTAATAAAGATATCTTTAAATAAATAGGGAATTAGAGTATATCTATATTATAAAAATTTTATTATTTCCTTTTATATTCTAATACTTTAGATATTACTACTATTATATTTATATTTATATTATATTACTTTCTTATTTTTCTATTATTACTATTTAGTTTAACTTGCTTTAATTATTTCCTAGATTATATTTCCTTAAATATATATATTTGTATTCTTTTCTATAATAAAAGCTTAATTCTATATTTTATTTTTTATATTTATTTCTAATTTATAATTATATTACCTTAAATATATCTAATTATTATATTTACTTTTCTTATTATATATATTACTATTTTAGCTTTATTTTCTTATTAGGAAAAAAGAAAAACTCGAATATATATAATATCTTTATATAATTTAAAACTATTCTAATTTATTCTTTATTTTAAGATATACTTAAAAGAAATTCTTATAATCTCGAGAACCTTTAATTCTATAACTAATAACTATTATACTAATAATATCTTTATAATTTATTAAGAATAATAAAATAGCTAAAAAATAGATTTCTCAAGTTAGTAAAGTATAGTAACTAGTTCTTATAAGCTATAGTATTATTAAAAGCCTATAGATTAATAATATTAAAGTTTAGAATATTAAAGAAGCTTAAATAGTTATAAAAGGCTTACTAATACTAAAAAAGATAGCTATAAATACTAAATTTAATATAAATATTCTAGATAAGCTAAATAATATATATAATAAGCTCTTGAAATAGAAAACCTTTATTAGAAACGGAACTAGACTAGAATTAACTAAGAAGAAGCTAAAGAACTATTAAGCTAATAATAGGAAATTCGAGAATATTATTAAAGGCATTTCCAAAAGTAGATAAGAGAAGCTTAATAAGATTAAGACTATAATAAACGGTTTTAATACTAAAGGCCAGAATAAAATTATATTATATAATAAAGCTTTTAGCTCATATATTAATAATATCTGTAATAATCTTAGTAAGAATATTTATAAGAAGTTATATTTTCTTTTTAAAATAAAAGCTTTAGTATATAAAGCTATTTAGTTAATTAATAAAGCTATTTTAGAATATATTAAAGATAAGAAATATTAGAATACTAATATATTTATTAAATTAGATATTACTAAGATATTTAAGTATACTAAAGCTATTTCAGAACCTAGAGAATTAAGGTTTAAGTTACTATTAGCTAATAATCTTAAAGCTAGATAGTATATCTTTAATACTTCCAGAAGGCACCTTTTTTCCGGTTTTTTACCCCCCCTACTTTCACACCCACACTTCACTCACCTTCAGAACTCACTCCATACACTTCAGCCCTTTAGCCCCAGGCTCTAGAACCTACTATAAGTAGAACTAGAACAGGCTAAATGGCCCCCCCTGACCCCCCGGGCTCTAGCCCCCCCTCCATTGACTTCTGAGCAACCTCCCACATCAAGCAACTCACTCGCTAACACCATCGGGCTATCCGACTGAAGCCTCCATCGACAGATCGAAACTTTATCGAACTCATAGACCAAATCGAACCAAGACGAACTTAAAGCTAGGCAATCGATCGTAAAAGCTCGCAAACGATGAACCCTCCGATCATTTCATGTATCATACCGCCTACGCCGTGCTTAAGTCACATAAGAGACTTCTAAGATGATCTAGATCATCAGCTCTAACGACCAGTTACACTGCCTCATTATCATTATCGAAACTGATAACTTCAGGGCCGAACTGCTTAGTCATTAAAATCGAAAGCAAACTTCGAACTAAGACCATGACCCCACCAAAGGCACCAAAACCCACAGGAATAGTTATAATGATAACTATAGCGAGCTCGATCCCGGGCGAAATCGGGCAAGACCTCCGCCGAGTCAGCTCGGCGTGATCGCTTAATCCGACTCCTTTTCCCCGACGGCTCAAGCAGACTCCTCTACCCTAAACATCGCATTTAGCTTACGCTTAACTTCGAGGCGACGACTTTGCTCGATCACCCCTCGATCATCCATAGAGATCGACAGGCGATCCCGGAGACCTTCGAGAGGCTCGAGAACCTTCAGTTACAAAAAAAAAAAAAAAAAAAAAAAAATCAAGCTAAAACTACCTCCGGAAAGCCTACTTGGGCTAAAATCGCTACTCAAGAACTACCACACTCGGAAAAGGACTAGACTATAGTATCACACACTAAGTCCAAAAATCAGGGAGGAAAAGGCCCTAGTACACTTACTAGTGGCGGTAGTGCTCGTGACACTAAGAAACCACCTAGTGGTTCTAGTGCCCGTAATACTAGTACAAAATCTATAGCCCTCTCTAGGAAAAGCACCTTCCTACTAGCTCATATAGAGCAGGCTAGCTTGTTTTCAGCTATTTCCGTCCGCAATTTGCTTAATAATGCTTTCCGCGCTAAGGGAATCAAGGGACTAGTAATCTCTACAGTCTCTCTTTCCTCAAAGGGTAATATTATAGTTAATACTACCCCTGAGTTCAACTCTGACTTTTTGGTTCAAAACGAAGCTACTATAAAGGGGGTGCTTCCCTTAGTAAAAAGCATACAAAAAGGAGAGCCCTGGTATAAAGTTATTATCCACGGTCTACCTATTCGTGATTTCGATATACCCGAAGGAATGGACTTAGTCCTAGAAGAGATCAAGACCTTTAATAAGGGTCTAGAGCCTATTGGCCAGCCCTATTGGGCTACTTCTAAGGAAAAGAGAGACTCAGGCCTCCAGCGAGCCGGTTCAGTAGTAGTAGCATTCCCTACCGAGATTCAAGCTAATAGAGCTATTAAAAACAGACTCCTTATAGCCGGAATCTCTGCTAAAGTAGTAAAATACCATACTATCTCTAGCACTGCGCAGTGTACTAAGTGTGCAGGGTACGGGCACTTAGACTCTATTTGCAAAAAAGACCCTAAGTACTTGCTATATAGTGAGGAGCACGTGACAGAGAACCATTTCTGCTCTATCTGTAAAAAGAAGGGTAAAAAATGCCCCCACGTGACTACTAAATGCGCCAACTGCTCTAGTACTACCCACTCAGCTAGTTCTAAGCTATGTGAGGTCTACTTAGCAATCAAACAAGCTGCTACTACTCCTACTATTACTATTAATGAGTAGCTATATTAAAGTACTACAAATTAATGTAAATCGTAGTGGCCCTACTACTGAAAACGTCTTGCAAATGGCTATAGAACTGGATATTAAAGTCCTAGTAATTCAAGAGCCCTGGATTATAGCAAGGGATAGTACTAATCGGGGATATCATTCCATTATACACCCTAGCTATTTCTAAATACTCCCGAATTACGGTACCTTGAGACCTAGAACTCTAGTTTACGTAGCTCGCGAACTACAGGCTAGTCTAGCTCAAAACTCACCAAGTGATCCTGATTGCCTAATTATAGACTTGAGTCTAGGTGCACTAAAAATGCAGCTAATTAATTTCTATAATGCAGTTCACCCAGAAGACCCTAATAGTATATTAACTATACTAAGAGAGGATATTTTACCTACTACTCTCTTAGATAGCTCTCTATTACTAGGCGATTTTAATACGCATCATCCTTGGTGGGATCCCCTTAAACCTCAAAGCACTCATGCAATCCATTTAATTAGCTATATAGAGAACCACTCTTTAAGGCTATTAAATAAAATAGGGGAAGGTACCTTCTATAGGCCTAATATGTCCATTCCTTCCGTATTAGACTTAAGTTTTGCTACTAGTGGAATAGTAACTAAGATCAAAGACTAGCAAGTACTACCAGACTTAGGTTCTAATTACTTTGGGGTTCTATTTACTATTAGTAAGTCGACTTATAGCTCTAGTTCTAATCCAGTCAGATTTAATACTAAGAAAGCGGACTGGGCTAAATTTACAAGCTACCTTATTAATAGCCTTGAGAATATGCCCTTTCCACTTACTAGTATACCTGGAACCCATGAACTAGACCTATTAGCAGAAGACTTTACTAATAGAATAGTAGAAGCAGCTAGTAATAGTATTCCAAAATCTACTACTAGTCCGTATTCTAAACCCTGGTGGAATGAGGACTTAAAGACCTTATGTAAATCAATGCTATACTATAGCCGTAAGTCTAAAGCTTCAGGGTATACTCTCTATAAACAAGAACTCCAAAATGCAAAGAATACCTATTTTAATGCTATTAAAAGCACTAAACTAGCACACTGGAATAAGTTCTTAGAGAATAAAGACTCCCAGTCGATTTATAAAGCTATGAAATATACTAAGGATACTATATATCAACCTATTCCTAGTATCCTAAATAGTAATAGCTCAAATGAGCTAAAATCGACTTTCCAAGAGAAGTATAATATCTTTAGAACTGTGCTTTTCCCACCCCCTCCTAGTACAGCACCTATTAGTCTAATAGACTATAGGCCTAGCTCAAAGTGGGACTGGCCTATTTTATCTAAAATAGAACTAGAACAAGCCTGTACTTCTAAGATAAAAGGGAAAACCCCTGGACCAGACTTAGTTACTCAAGAGATTATAGTCCACGCTTATAGAGCTTCTCCAGACATCTTTTATAGGCTATATTCCTTATTTATTAATAAGGGATACCACCCTAAAGTCTGGAAACAAGCTACTGGCTTTATTCTAAAGAAATCAGGGAAACCAAACTATTCCCTACCTAAAGCATATCGAGTTATTTCCCTACTTAATTGCTTAGGGAAGGTTTCTGAGAGAATACTAGCTAGGCGACTTAGCTATTTAGCCGAGACTAGTAACCTACTGCACCATACTCAAATGGGAGGTAGGCTCCACAAGTCAGCTATTGATACTGCTCTACTATTACAAAATGAAGTAGAATCAAATAAGTCCTATAAGCTGAAAACTAGTACTCTCTTCCTAGATATCAAAGGCGCCTTCGATCACGTGTCCAAGAATAGGCTATTACAGATTATGATTAGTTTACTACTACCTACTAGCCTTATTCTATGGGTATCGTCATTCCTAGACGACCGGGTATTAAGGCTAGCTTTTGATAATAATATTAAAGCATTTAGGTCTATACTTACTGGCATTCCACAAGGGAGCCCTATATCCCCTATACTATTCCTTATCTATATCCGAGACTTATTTAAATCTGCAAATATCAAATTCAGATCCTATTTAGATAATATATCCCTTACTACCGCTTCTAAAAGTCTTAAAAAGAATATAAAGACCCTAGAACGGGAAGTAAAGGATATAGTCGATTTAGGGAAAAAGAATGCTATTAGCTTTGATATAGATAAAACTGAGCTTATTCATTTTGATAATTCCAAAAATAAGCCTAGTCTAAAACTACCTAATGGGGAACTAGTTTCCCCTAGCAAAGTAGTCAAATGGCTAGGGATCTATTTCGATGAAAACCTCAGATTTAAGGAACATATAGCCTATAGGGCTTCCAAAGCAAAACAAGCCTTTTATAGGGTATACAGAGACTGATAAAATTATCTGGCGGTTATCCCCTTTTGGCAATATGAACAGCTAATTAT